AAAAAAAAAAAAAAAAAAAAAAGGTAGTTAAGAAATAGCAACCATTTATTGGGGCAGAATAATCCCCTGGGTCTATTGGAGGTGTTATAAATAAGAATTATTAATTGAAAAAATTATATTGCATGTGTATGGATAATACGTAGTTTATCATCCAAATGAGGGTCAATACAGTGAAACGTGGTTCTAATCAGTGAATAAGAGGAAGTGAAGTCAATCCCTGTATGGCAAGAAAAAAACAGAAGCAAGAGAAGCAAGAATTAGCCGGTGAGTGAGTTTTTAATAGAAATAAGACTAAAGGAATAAGCAGTTGATATATGTTAGTTATGGTAAATAATCTAAATTATTCTAGTTTAACATAAAATTTCAGGCCAGTTTATAAAGAATAAATAAGACGTGAAACAAGATTTATTTTATACTTCACTAAGTACTTTTTGTGATTAGCTGTCAAGATGGCTATTTTTTTTGTTCTATACATTTAAAGTTAATTGCAAATCTTAATTTCTACAAACAATTTAATAAATACTTGCACTTCACAAAGATACTTTCAACTGACCGTTATTTTGCCAGAATCAAGAGTCACAAGACATGGAAGGATCAGTATGCTTTAATAAGGTATCAGTGTCAAAATACATTTCTTTATTGAGTTAAAAGTTGCCATACAGTTACAAGGTTATCAGTAAGAAATTCAACAATAGAGAGAACATGAAATAATTATGACAATAGTTATGGTTAATATTTTAAGCATGGACTCCCTCTCCCCCAGTGTATTTTTAGTAAAGGGTTAGGGTAAACACTTGAATGCTGAAACTACAAATAAAAATAAAAGAGCAATATATGAGTGCCATTAACCCTTCAGGCACACAGCTCATTACCACGAATAGATTTGGTTTGCTGCAACCACAGGCTTCAAGCCACTTAAATTCCAGAGATGTCACTGTAAATCAATGGATTACTTTAAAGTGAACTATTTGAGATTAGCAGCTTAATGTGGATATTTGTAATATATGTTTTCTCCAAAATGCACTGAAAACTTTATTATAATAACTGAATATCCGATCCAATCAAAACTCATATACGAGAGTCACATCAAGCAAATCATATTTGCCACTAAATGTATTTTAGTTGAACCTGTAATCCATTGCCACTTCTTTGAACATATGCATTATGACAAACTATATATAT